GGAGACACAGAATGGGAAACAGGCTCCAGGCTCTGAGCCATCAGCCCAGAGCCCGACGCGGGGCTCGAACTCACGGACCGCGAGATCGTGACCTGGCTGAAGTCGGACGCTTAACTGACTGCGCCACCCAGGCGCCCCAAGTCCAAATATTTTCAACAGCACCTTACTCTTTCAAGTTTTCCTTCTCGAAACCAGTTCCTACTGTGGGAAAGGTGAGCAGAATATTATACCAAGGACAGGGGAGGGGGTGAGGAGCCTGTGATTGCCCAGGGCCAGCTCCAGAGCCAAATAGTGGTCACATCTCCCCATGACATCCTCCAACAGCTAGACGCTGGGGGAACAGAGTGGTAAGCAAAACTCAGAGCTGGCAGTCAGGTCACGTGAGAGAGGTCTATTTTAAAAACGTGCAATGATGGGGTGCTTGGGTGGCTCAGTCGGTTGGGTGTCCAACTGGCTCAGGTCATGTTCTCACGGTTCATGGTTCGAGCCCTGCGTTGGGCTCCGTGCTGACAGCTCAGGGCCTGGAGCCTGCTTCCGATTCTGTGTCTCCCTCTCTCTGGCCCTCACCTGCTCATGCTCTGTCTCACTCTCTCTCTCAAAAATAAATAAAGATTAAAAAATTTTTTTAAATGTGCAATAAGTAGAAAAGGCAACTTAAGGAATGGGGGAAATATGTGCAAACTATATATCTGATGAAGAGTTAATATCCACAATATATAAAGAATTTCTACAACTCAACAATAACAAACAACAAAAATAACTAGATTTATTTTTCACATACTAAGAATACCAAAATTTGGGGCGCCTGGGTGGCTCAGTTGGTGAAGCATCTGACTTCGGCTCAGGTCACAATCTCACGGCTTGAGAGTTTGAGCCCCATGAGTTCGAGCCCCATGTCGGGCTCTGTGCTGACAGCTCAGAGCCTCGGGCCTCCTTCAGATTCCATCTCTGTCTCTCTGCCCTTCCCCCCCGCTTGCTCACTGTCTCTCTCTCTCTCTCTCTCTCTCTCTCTCTCTCCCTCTCAAATATAAATAAACATTAAAATAATTTAAATATAAATAAATAAAAAATAAATAAAATGGGCAAAGGACTTGAATGTCCTTCTCCAAAGAAGACATACAGATAGATGACCAACAAGTACATGAAAGGCTGCTCAACATCATTAATCATACCAGAAATGCAAATCAAAACCACAATGAGATAACACCTCATATCCATTAAGATTGCTACAATGAAAACCACAGAAAATAGCAAGTGTTGATCAGGATTTAGAGGAACTGAAACCTTTGCGCACTGTTACTGGGGATGTAAATTGGTGTAACCATTATGGAAAACAGTGTGGAAGCTCCTTAAATAATTCAAAACAGTACTATCGGATCCAGCAAATCCACTTCCGGGTATACATTCAAAGGAACTCAAAGCATCTATCTCTATCTCAAAGAGATATTGCACACCCATGTTCATTGCACCATTATTCACTATAGCCAAGAGGTAGAAGCAACCCAAATGTCCATCAACAAATGAATGGATACAGTAAGGGTGATATATACATCCAGTGGAGTGCTATGCAACCTTAAGAAAGAAGGAAATTTGACACGCTACAACAAGCATGAACCTCGAGGACCCTACGCTAACTGAAATAAGCCAGTCACAAAAGGACAAACAGTGTATCATTCCACTCATATGAAATATCTAAAGTAGGCAAAATCATAGAAACAGAAAGCAGAAAGGGTAGGCGGAGGGAGAGCAGGAATTAATGTTTTATTGGTATAGAGTTTCAATTTTGCAAGATGAAAAAGTTTAGAGATCTGTTGCACAATGTGGATATACTTAATACTACTGAACTGTACACTTAAAAATCACTACGATGGGGGGCATCTGGGTGGCTCGGTTGGTTTGGGCGTCTGACTCTCGATTTCCGCTCAGATCACACAGTACGTGAGTTCAAGCCCCATGTTGGGCTCTGCACCAGCTTGGAGCCTGCTTGGGATTCTGTCTCCTCTTTCTGCTCTTCCTCAACTAATGCACATGCACACGCGCTCACTGTCTCTTTCAAAATAAATAAATGGGGGCACCTGGGTGGCTCAGTTGGTTAAGCGTCCAACTGAGGCTCGGGTCATGATCTCACAGTCCAAGGGTTCGATCCCCACATCGGGTTCTGTGCTAATAGCTCAGAGCCTGGAGTCTGTTTCAGATTCTATGTCTCCCCCTCTCTCTCTGCCCCTTCCTCTCTTGTGTTCTCTCTCTCTCTCAAAAATATATAAATAAACTTAAAAAAATAAACTTAAAAAAAAGATTAAGGTGGTAAATTTAATGTTATGTTTTTTTTACCACAATTCAAAAAACCATTCAGTAATGTAAATACAGTCGTGATTATTGCAACCAAGGGGGGTACAAGATGCTCTGAGAATTTATAACTAATTGGGGGGCTAACTGGGTGCGAGGCAAGGCTTCCATTAGGAAGTAATGCTTCAGCTAACTTCGGAATCACACAGGAGAGAAGCAAGAGCCGCAGATGCTGAGGCAGCGGCCCAGCACAGACCCCAGGACAACAGGTCACGTGACGAGTCTGAATTTATTTTATATACCACAGTTGTCTCCAACCTTCCTGCTTCAGGAGTAGAATCAATGACAATAATGACAGTAACAGCCAACATGGGCCGGAAATTAATTCGCTTAGTTAATTATGTACTTAATGTAAATATCAAGTGCAGGGATTCTGAAGCAGGGTACTTGGGGTTACATTCCAGCTCCACCATATCTTTACTAGCTTCATAATCTTGGGCAAGTTACTGAATCTCTGTGCCTTGGTTTCCCTTATCTGGAAAATGAAGACAGTAACGGGGCCTACACACAGGGTTGTTGTGAGGACAAATAAGGTAGCTTACACTGAGTTATATCACGTATACAGCGCCTGCCACATAGCAGGGGCTATTAGTACTTAGTAAATAAAATTTAATTACATGGAAGCCATTGTGCTAACCACTTCACATGCTGTGATATGTTGCACACTGGGCACAAATTCCTCCCATCCCTAGAAAGAAGCATCCCTAGAAAGAAATTCCTCCCATCCCTAGAAAATTCCTCCCATCCCTAGAAAGAAGGTCTAGCAAGAAGACCTTTCACGATGTGACCAGCAGAACCAGGATCCATCTTCCCACATAAAAGCAGGCTGCATCCCAAACCCAGCAAGGCTATGCTTGATCCCTGAGGGCCCTTCTTCCACCCCGTCTCTCCCACCGTCTCCGAACATGACAGCTCCGTTTTTGCAAATGGTTGTTCAGCAACCCCAGAAACTTTACAGCAACTATAGCTGGCTTTCCTATTTTTACTCCTCACATCCGCCAGCAGAACAGTGAGGTCCTGGTGCTCCGATCTCTATGTCCAGAATCCGACTACCTCTCACTGATTCCACGCTGCCACCTGCTGGTCCAGCCCATCATCTCTTGATGACTGCACGGGCCTCTTCACAGCCTCCCTGCTCCTGTCCTTGTGCCTCCGCAGTGTATCCTCAAGCCGGCAGTCAGAGCCATCCTGCAGAGGCACCTCGGATCCCCCACCCAAATCCCTCTAGTGGCTCCTGCCTGACCCAGGGTAAAAGCCCAAATCCCTATGGTGGCCTGTGAGGCCCTCCGTGTTCCGTCCCATTACCCTGTGCTCTGACCTCATCCACCACAGATCCCCCACCTGGCTCACTCAGCTCCACCACTCTGGCCTTTCTAGTTCCAGAGCACTAGCACTCCAGCACCACCTGCTGCCCTAGGGCACTAGCACTGTTCCATCTGTCTGAACCAACATTCCCTTCGGACATGCACGTAACACACTTCCTCTTCCCTTTCACACAGACTCCTGTGGTGATCTTCCTCAACACTCCAGTTCCCTCTGCACCTTGTCCCCAGCCGGGGTTTTCTCCTTACCCTTTCCTGCATGTTTTTTTCCCAAAGCACTCACCCCGACACATTACAGGTGCCTGTGTGTCTTGTCTGTCTCCCTCCACTAGAATGGGAGCTTTCTGAGGGCAGAGACTTGTGCCTGCACTTTTGTCTGATTGTTGAATCCCCAGTGCCCACGACAGAGCATGGCATATAGCAGGCACTCGGTATTTGTTAAAGGAATACAAGTAAGGGACTAAGTAAGACAGGAGAAGAAAGTAGGGGTACCTGGGTGGCTCAGTCGGTTAAGCGTCCGACTCTTGGTTTCGGCACAGGTCATGATCTCACAGTTCATGAGTTTAAGCCCCGCATTGGGCTCTGTGCTGACAGCATGGAGTCTGCTCGGGATCCTCTGCTGCCCTCTCTCTCTGCCCCTCCCCCCCACACACACACACGCGCATGCACTCTCTCTCTCTCAAAATGAATAAACTTTTAAAAAAGTAAACCAGGGGCGCCTGGGTGGCGCAGTCGGTTAAGCGTCCGACTTCAGCCAGGTCACGATCTCGCAGTCCGTGAGTTCGAGCCTCGCGTCAGGCTCTGGGCTGATGGCTCGGAGCCTGGAGCCTGTTTCCGATTCTGTGTCTCCCTCTCTCTCTGCCCCTCCCCCGTTCATGCTCTGTCTCTCTCTGTCCCAAAAATAAATAAACGTTGAAAAAAAAATTAAAAAAGTAAACCAATCCCCAAATGCAATGAGGACCCTGCCGCCCTGATTGCTTCTTCCTATCATCAGCTAATCACTGTCTGTGTGTACCTCGCTTTACAGTTTGCAAAGCACATTCACACCCGTGTCACATTTGACACGTACACAACCCCATGAGAGAGGGATGTTAGTGAAGTCATAACTCTTCCCAGACCCAAAGTTTTCATGGAGAAACAGAAAAAAAACTGTTGAGACTTGCCTATGACTCAGCAAATTGACTTGCAAATTGACTCAGCAGTGGAAGAACCGTGATTCACCCATGACTTCTGACCCTGAGTCCAGGAGTCTTCACTTCAAGCAAAAAGGCTGTGTGTGCAGTGGTTAGACCCACCAGCTGTGGAGTTTGAACAAACAAGACCATGAAACTTACCTCTACTACTCCCTAGCTGTGTGACATTGCGAAAGTTGCTAGCCCTCTCTGTGACTCCCATTTTCTCAATCATCAAGCAGGGATAATAATATCCTCCGCATACGTTGTCCTGAGGGTTGAACGAGGTAAGATTAGGTCTGTCATGATTAGCCAGTTAAAAAAAAATACATTGAAAAAATAGGAGCATGTTATTTCGTGGTCATTCACTTTTTTCAGTGGCCCCGGCTCTGCCCAAGTTGCTCCAGCTAACCTGATGGGGAGAGACTGGAAAGTATGATGCCATCTATTTTAAAGGTGGTGAAACTAAGGCTTTTTGTCCCAAAAGGGATTTGACTCGGTGCTTTTGGGAAGAGAACGGCTGTGAAAATTCCATAGCAACCAGAAGGCAGGCTCCCCAGAGGCAGAGCAGAGCTGTTGCCACCCCCCGGGGCACTCATTATATTCACGACACAATCTCATTCAGCCACCTCCAGAGAGGACAGGACCGTGTTTACACACACTCCAGGGATGTTTGCAATGTTGTGGCCGCTGAACCGCCGTAGCCCCCACGGCGGCGCTCAAAGGGCTGCAAGGCACTCACGCCTGCTCACTTGCGCCCTCTTGTGGGCAGTTCCGCAGTCCGTCCAAAGGGTGCGGTGACAGGAAACACAGCTAACCTACACTGAGTAATTCAGGCTAGGAGTCCGCCTGACACTTGACATCACGGATGACCTCACTTAATATCTCCATGAGGTGGCTTTACAAATATGGAGGCTGAAGGTGAGAGACTGATACAAAGAGAAGCAAACCTTGCCCAGAGTCACCCTGCTAGTAAGCATCAGAGCCAACATTCAAATCCAGACTTGCCTTGACTCCAAAGCTCACAGACTTTCCCCAACATTTGCATTACAGATTTGAAATAGAATCAAGCCTACCGACCTACTTGGGGATCAAACTTTGTCATGACTCCATTATTCCATTCCACGTCATGGAATGGTAAATTATGAAAATATGCCCCTACCCCCGAGGAAAAAAAAAAATCTCTCAATGGTCAGTCCCTGGGGAATAGGGTGGGACTGGAGACTGTCACACAAATGCACAGACATAACATACATGATTCCCAAGATAAACCATTCAACCAGTTTCTAAGTCACCCACCCATACATACACTAGAATCCCATTTATTTAACACTAGTATATCTATAAATTAGGATAAAGTGGTCAGAAGAATATAATCTTAAAGGTAGTTACTCCCAGGGAGGGAAACAAGCATATATTATACATACTTCTGTAAGGTTGAACAAGCATTGTTATTTTCATAAATTTAAAAACCACTTAAAATTGTTTTTAAAAGTATATTTTTTTTAAAGTTTATTTATTTACTTATTTATTTAGTGGGAGAGAGAGAGTGAGCACATGCTCATGTGAGCAGAAATGGAATAGAGAAGCAGAGAGGGAGAGAGAAAATCCCAAGCAGCCTCCATGCTCAACTCAGAGCTTGATCCCACGAACCCGTGAGTTCACAGCCGGAACTGAAATCAAGAGACCAATGCTTGGGGCGCCTGGGTGGCGCAGTCGGTTAAGCGTCCGACTTCAGCCAGGTCACGATCTCGCGGTCCGTGAGTTCAAGCCCCGCGTCGGGCTCTGGGCTGATGGCTCAGAGCCTGGAGCCTGTTTCTGATTCTGTGTCTCCCTCTCTCTCTGCCCCTCCCCCGTTCATGCTCTGTCTCTCTCTGTCCCAAAAATAAATAAACGTTGAAGAAAAAAAAAAAAATTAAAAAAAAAAAAAAAAGAGACCAATGCTTAACTGACTCAGCCACCCAGGCACCCATATTTATTTATTTTGAGAGATGGAGGGGGAGGGGCAAGGGGGGAATCCCAAGCAAGCTCCGAGCTGTCAGTGCAGAGCCCAACAGGGGCTCCACCTCAGGAACCATGAGTTCATAACCTGAGCCGAAATCAAGAGTCAGACTCCCAGGGCACCTGGGTGGCTCAGCCAGTTAAGCGACCGACTTCCACTCAGGTCATGATCTCATGATTTGTTAAGTTCGAGCCCCATGTCAGGCTCTGTGCTGATAGCTCAGAGCCTGGAGCCTGCTTTAGATTCTGTGTCTCCCTCTCTCTGCCTCTCCCCCATTCACACTCTGTCTCTCTCTCAATATCAAAATTTAAAAAAATAATAATAGGGGCGCCTGGGTGGCGCAGTCGGTTGAGCGTCCGACTTCAGCCAGGTCACGATCTCGCAGTCCGTGAGTTCGAGCCCCGCGTCGGGCTCTGGGCTGATGGCTCAGAGCCTGGAGCCTGTTTCCGATTCTGTGTCTCCCTCTCTCTCTGCCCCTCCCCCATTCATGCTCTGTCTCTCTCTGTCCCAAAAATAAATAAATGTTGAAAAAAAAAATTAAAAAAAAATTAATAATAATAATAATAAAGAAATAAAAGAGAGCCAGATTCCCAACCAACTGAGCTACCCAGGTACTCCTAAAAAGTAGTATTAAACTGAAAAATCCCACAGGTGATTTTGAGGAGTGTCCTAGGTTAAGATAGGTTAAGACTGAAAGATTATTGCCTTAAAATTTGTGACAGTGATATATAGTTAAAGAAAAGCAAACTGCTACCCTGTGGGCCAATAATACCAAAAGCTAACATTGATAAGAACCTACTGTATGCAGAGCATTGGTCTGGAATCCTTTCCATTTATTAATGCATTTCATTCCTTCCACAACCCCATGAGGTAGGTACTTGTGGTAGGCAGCCTGTAATATGGCAGTCAGGGACCCTCATGCCATGGTGTTCACACCCCTGTGTACTCTTCCCGCACTAAATAGTACTGACCTGTGTAACCAATAGGATAATGTGGAAATGATAGTATGTGACTTCCAGGACCAGGTCATAAAAGATACTAGTGCTTCTGCCTTTCACTCTCTTGAATCACTGGCTCTGGGAGAAGACAGCTGCCATGTTGTGAGGATGCTCAAGCTAGCTGCCCTGGTAGAGGCCCGAAGGATCATGAATGGCATTTAGCTTCATGCCTCTTTATCCTTCTTTAATCTCCTTTTCCTTGAATTTTAATTTGTCTCATCTTTTTTTTTTTTCCTCGTAAGACATTGGCATTGCTGAAACAGCCTGGCCAGTTGCTTCTCAGGAGCATCCCACAATTTGCATTTGCCTCTTTCTTCCTGAATAGCTCCAGTTAACAGGTGAGGTTGTGTCAGAGGAAGAGGTTCATCCCACCGGTGTGGTTGACCTGATATCTTCTTTAATCAGGTGCTTACAAGTTTCTCTAATGCACAGACATTGTTTGTTTCTTGCTGATGATCACAAGTCACTCTGGTATTTGACTTTTTTAATTGCAAAGATGTGATTGACCCAAATCTTGACCCTGAGAAAGGACCCTAAAGAAAAATTATAAATGTTAACAAAAGGAATATAATTTACAGATATAACTATAAGCAGAAAGAGTTGGGGGGGATCCCTAGAAAAAGAAAGATGATATATAACTTTTGTGGCACAGCAGAAGTCATTTTAGACCCCCAGCTATCTTCTGTGATCTACAGTTCACCAGCACTGCTTGCCCTGGCAACACTTCTTACAGAACTCTTCCTAAGGGGTGTAAGAACTAAGAAATACAAAAACCTCAGTAGTTAAAGATCTTAAGGGAACAAAAGGGAATGCAAAACCCAATGGTCTCTACCAAGCCAGAAAATAGCCTAAACATATCAGACACAATAAATCAATTGTAAAACTCCCAGCACTGTTCAAAAATAAAGATTGACCTACTGCAGGATTGAAACTGTGCCCCACAGGATTAATGAGGTTAAAACTGTCACCAGCAAGTCCCCTACTCATCCCCCTTCTTGACAGAAACATTAACCTTATCTTTTTTTTTTTTTTAATTTTTTAACATTATTTTTGAGAGAAAGAGAGAAACAGAGCGTGAGCAGGGGAGAAGACAGAGAGGGAGACACAGAATCAGAAGAGCTATCAGCACAAAGCCAGATGCAAGGCTCAAACCCATGAACCACGAGATAATGACCTGAGCTGAAGTCTGATACTTAACTGACTGAGCCACCCAGGCACCCCAACCTTGTCTTTTAGAGGCAAACAAGAGCTCCCGCCAGCCTAGACCAGTTTGAGCTCAAACACCGATTCACACCTGCTGACAGCGAGCTCTATCTCATTCTAATGTTAAAATCTCCATCCAAGGGACACCTGGATGGATTCCTTGGTTGAGCATCTGACTCTTGATTTCAGTTCAGGTCATGATCTCAGGTTCATGAGTTCCAGCCCCATATCAGGCTCTGTGATGACAGCACAGAGCCTGCTTGAGATGCTCTGTCTGCCCCTTCCCTGCTCACGTGTTCTCTCTCTCTTTCAAAATAAATAAATAAACATGAAAAAAATTAAATCCCCACCCACGGAGGAACACAGGTTTATTAACACAACATGGGATACATGCATAGGCATGTTTTCAAAGTATGCCTGGGCAACCTTACGCCCAACTTTACATGCAGTGACAAGATTCCCTTTTCTGAATATTCATTATAACCCTAAAGAACAGCAACCCACTCACCTCCACTTGAAGAGTTACCACTTTGCAAGTTATTCCTCCTGATCTCCTTATTTGCTACAAATAAAGTTTCCCGTGTGACACAACTCCGCCTAGAGTGGTCTCTGCCTGTAACTCACCAAAGAGCAAACGTGTCACCAGCTAGACCCCAGGAACTGACCTTTACCGCCCACCTGCATGTACTCACTAGCCTTTGTCTTACGTTTTTCCTTTAGCGCTTTTTTCCGGCTTTCCTCTTAACTCTGGCTAATGAAACCCAAAACTACCTCAGGGGTGGAATGGCGACTGCCCTGACCACACCCACAAGCCAGACCGTTTGGCCCTGCGCAGATGGACTGTGGAGTCACCCCTAGAATGACCCAACATAACCTTTACCTCATTATACTACTAAAATCCCCTCCCCAGGAGGAGCACGAGCCTCATTTACATAACATACAACGTTGTCTAGGCACGTTTCCTTATGGCGCATGCGCAATTTTATGCCCGCCTCTCGTCCAATGACAGAGATCCCCTATCTAAATATTCATCCTAATCCTAAAGCTATCCATTCACCCTCTCTCGGGGAGTCTGGGTTTTGGAAGGCATTCCCGTGACCTCACTTATTTGCTGCAAATAAAGTTTTCCTTGTGCCACAACCTACCTGGTGCAGTTTCTGTGACTGGTCGAGGATCGCACTCACGTTGGTTTGGTTACATACCTGGAATGTTTGCAAGTCAAAGTGGTCCAAACGGCGCTTTAAAATTCCCAAATGCAAGAACTGAAGAAAACAGTTCCATCTGCAATTGCCCCTCAAAGAATAAAATGCCGAGGAATAAACTTAACCAAGGAAGTAAAATTTCCAAACCTAGCATCCCAACAAAGCCAACATCCATCATCAGTGTCAGTGGGACAATCTGACATCATATGCCTCCTGGTGTAGTGACTGAAATATACAAAACAGTAACATTTCTCGAATAAACTTTGGGAGCAAACCCAGGGTCACCAGTCTTTTTTTCCACATGACCAACACCGGGCAAAATTATATAAAAAGAAGAGAAAACGAGGGGCACCTGGGTCGGTCAGTCCGTTAAGCGTCGGACTTCAACTCAGGTCATGATCTCACGGTTTGTGGGTTTGAGCTCCCCGTGGTGCTCCCTGTGCTGAGGGCTCAGCGCCTGGAGCCTGCTTCAGATTCTCTGTCTCCCTCTCTCTCTGCCCCTCCCCGACTCACACTCTGTCTCTCAAAAATGAATAAACATTAAAAACAATTAAAAGAAGAAGAAAGGGGCGCCTGGGTGGCTCAGTCGGTTGAGTGTCCGACTTCGGCTCAGGTCATGGTCTCAGTTTGTGAGTTCAAGCCCGCGTGGGGCTCTGCACTGACAGCTCCGAACCTGGAGCCTGCTTCTGATTCTGTGTCTCCCTCTCTCTCTGCCCCTCCCCCACACTTGCTCTGTCTCTGTCTCTGTCTCTCAAAAATAAATAAATGTAAAAAAATGTTTTAATAAAAAATAAATTTAAAAAAGAAGAAAAAACATTAGCATTTAGTAATATAAACCTTTAATAAAAAATGTTTGGTGCATTTAACAAACATTTATATAGCAATTATTCTGGACCAGGCACTGTTCTAAGTGCCTTAGAGAACTGATCTCCTTATGTCATTCTGATGTGGAGAACAAAGGCAAAAGAAACGTAGATAAATTAAATTTCCTTATAACCTGCAGCCCCTTGACAAATACTGGAGATAGGCAGAATATGACATTCCTCCAGCAACTTCTGTCTTAAAGTCAGTGCTTTGCTAGAGGGGAAAACAATGTTAGCTAGGCCTCCAGGATCCTGTAAATCTTCTTTAACATAAGAGAACCCTTTTTGAAGCTTCCGTTGCCTTTACCTCCCTCAACTCCAAAGTATATAACCAGTCACTCCTCACAACCTCAGTGCAGCTCTTTCTGCCCACAGGTCCTGTCCCTGTGCTTTATTTAATAAAGCCACCTTTTTGCACCAAAAACATCTAAGAATTCTTTCTTGGCCTTTGGCTCTCAGACTCTACTTTAAGCCACATCAATTCCAACAATCTTAAGAGCTCGGCTGGGACTAGGGTTGGGGGAAGAAGAAGAGGGTGGAGGAGGGAGATACTCTCAGGTGCTAACCCTGCACTTGCAAAACGCTGGGTGTCTCTATAAATGTTGCCCCCAGGACCCCTGCCTGCCTTACAGCCCTGTGTTGGTGGTAGATGATGTTGATGGGGTTTTGAGGTGGTGGGGGTCCGGAGCTGCCCAAGAAAGAATTATTTAGATGTCTTTGGTGCAAAAAAGGTAATTTTATTGGAGAAAAAAAAAAGGGGGGTGATTTTATTAAAACACGGGGACAGGACCCGTGGGCAGAAGAGCTTCCTGGGGGGTTGTGGAGAATGACTGGTTATATACTATGGAGTTGAGGAGATAAAGGCCGAAGGGAGGCCTCTAGAAGGACTTTCATATGCTAAAGATGACTCCTAAGATACTTGAGGCCTTGCTATTGTCAAGCTAAGGTGGTTTTCCCCTCTAGTAAGGCATTACCATTAGGACAGTAGGGGGTTCTGGAGGAATATTATACTTTGTATTTGCCTCAAGTATTTGTCAATGGGCTGCAGGTTATAAAGAAATTTCATTTTACCAGCCATTTCCTTCTTGTCTTTGTTTCCCACATCACTATGGAGGGGAGGGTGATGTTGGGGCTCCAGGAAACTGAGTCTATAGGTTCCTGGAGATTAGGCTATTGATAAGATTGCTGTTTTCTTGTAATTTACCAAGACATATGTAAACTGATGGAGACCCCTGTCCTGCCTGACTGTGATCTGAGTTAACCATTTGCTTCCTTTCCTTTCCTTGGTTCTTGGGTAGCCATGAGTGCCTAAGGAATGTCACACACATCCCACCTGGGGGAGAGGTGTTTGCGGGGTGTCAGCTTGCCTTATGCTCCCTCATCACTGCCATTAGAATCCTTTGATGAGATATCAGGAGCACAGAGAGGCTTAGCAACTGGCCTCAGACCACACAGCTGTTGAGTGGCAGAGCCGCCTGTGGAACCCAGGCTGTCTGGCTCCACAGCCCATGCTCTCAGCCACCTCTCTCTGCAAATAGGACATTTTCACATGAAAAAGGATAACAACAGAATAAAACAGTCCTTCTGAGAAAGAAGGCTTTGCAACCTGACACACTCAGAGGCACAGGTGAACCTAGGCGTTTACAATAAAAATTTAATGTGGCAATTGTCCTATGCCCCACATCTTGGAGGTGTGTGCAAAACAAGCTGAGGGGATGATTTTTTTCTCCCCTGTCACCCAAGTGGACACGATCAGCTCTAACAGCTGTGTTTTAGGCTTGTGAGCAGACTATGGGAATACTCTCGACTTTTGTTGGGATTCAGCTCTTGAAGGGAGGGGATTAAAACTGAATCCTCCTGGGGGGAGAGGGATGGTCTGTGCTTTGTGGGAAGGCAAGGGAGTGGTTTAAGGCTGCAGTCCAAGTGGGGACTGAGAGTCAGGAAGGAAGCGATTTCCAGATGGGCCCTTGGTCCATCTCTGAGCCCCCTGGGAAGGGACAGGCCAGTGTGGAAGTGCATGGAGGCCTGACTGTAAACACTTAGGTCTTTAAAATAGCAGCTGAGCTCTCTCCAGCAGGGAGGGGTCCTTTGCTAAGAGCCCTTTCTTTGCTGACAGCCAAGAGCCTGGAAAACTCAAAACGGGCTGAGCCTCTCCTGACCTCAGAGGTGTTTGACCATTTCTGAATGACCTTGCAATTTGCCTTAAGATTAGTTTTCATGACTACAAATAAAGAAGTTTTGTATTTAAACATCCTGGGACAATTCATACCAGGAAGAGAGAGTCCCCCTCCCACACCCCATTATTTTTCCCATTTTCACAGAAAATTTCATCAGGAGCTGACTCAGAGTTTGGATCCCCTTTTATAATCCTAAATGAACAAACCCAATTTATGCAATCAGCTGGAATCGTTGAGCGCCTCCTGTGTGCTAGACAACTGAGACAAGGGGAATCTGTCAGTGACCACTGACACACCAGGATCCCTGCCCTTGTGGGACTTTCATTTTAGTGAGGGAGACACACAATACACATAAAAGAGTCAAATGTGTATGTGTATTTGTTATGTTCGTGTTTTGAGAGAGAGTGTGTGAGCAGGGGAGGGGCAGAGACAGAGAGAGAGAGAGAGAGAGAGAGAGAGACAGAATCTAAGGCAGGCTCCAGGTTCTGAGCTGTCAGCACAGAGCCCAAAGCGGAGCTCGAACTCACAAACTGTGAGGTCATGACCTGAGCCGAAGTGGGACCCTTAACCCACTGAGCCACCCACGTGCCCCCAGTCAAATGTATATTTCGTTAGAATGTGATGACTGCCAGGGAAAAAAAATCATACAGAGTAGCAATGAGGGAGCATGGGGCAAGCTGAGGGCAAAGTACAGGCAGCAACCCCCCTCCTCCAAGGTGAGGTATGTGTGATATTCCTGACACTCTTGGCTGCCCAAGGACAAGGGAAAGGAAAGAAAGCAGATGGTTGCCTGATAGAGATCACAGTCATACAGGAGTCTCCTTCAGACAACTCAGTAAACTGCAAGAAAAAAGGCAAGCTTATCTATAGCCTAATCTCCAGAAACCTATAGACCCCATGTCCTGGAGCCCTAATATCACCTTCATCAAGATATAAGGGGGTTTGGGGCGCCTGGGTGGCGCAGTCGGTTAAGCGTCCGACTTCAGCCAGGTCACGATCTCGTGATCTCGCGGGATCTCGTGATCTCGCGGTCCGTGAGTTCGAGCCCCGCGTCGGGCTCTGGGCTGATGGCTCAGAGCCTGGAGCCTGTTTCCGATTCTGTGTCTCCCTCTCTCTCTGCCCCTCCCCCGTTCATGCTCTGTCTCTCTCTGTCCCAAAAATAAATAAACGTTGAAAAAAAAAAAGAAAAAAAAATGTTGAAAGATGTAAGGGGGTTTAAGTGCTTGCCATGGTGATGTGGGAAACAAAGGCAAATGAAAAATTAAATGCCCTTACTGCCTTACTCTGCCATCTTTTTTACCCCACTTACTCCACCATCACCCCAAAACCCCATGAGTAGGTTACAGTGTTATAGACAGTTTGTGGAATTTATGTGGTTTGAAGTGTTGGGGTTCAGAGCCTATGGCTAAGAAAGAATTCTTGAGACATCTTTGGTGCAAAAAGGTGGTTTTATTAAAGCACAGGGACAGGACCCATGGGCAGGAAAAGCTGCACTGGGGTTGTGAGGAGTGACTGATGATATACTTGGGAGTTGGGGGAGGTAAAAGCAACGGGAAGTTTCCAAAAGGACTTTTAGGGCACCTGGGCGGCTCTGTCGGTTAAGCATCTGACTCTTCACTTCGGCTCAGGCCACGATCTCACGGTTCATGGGATTGAGCTGCACATCGGGCTCTGTGGTGACAGAACAGAGCCTGCTTGGGATCCTCCCTCTCCTTCTCTCTCTGCCACTCCCCTGCTCTCTCACACTCTCTCTCTCTCAAAATAAATAATCTTAAAAAAATTTTTTTTTAATTAAAAAAGAAGGACTTTCATATGCTAAAGAAGACTCACAGGATCCTGGAGTTCTTGCTATTGTCAAGTTAAGGTTGTTTTTCCCTCTAGTGAGGCATTAACATTAAGGCAGGAGTTCCTGGAGGAGGAATGTCATATTCTGCCAGCCTGAAGTATCTCTGAACGGGGCTGCAGGTTATAAGGAAATTTAATATTACCTATATTTCTTTCTACCTTTGTTTCCCACCTCACCAGGAAAACCTACACGAAGAACA